GACGGGCAACAACTATGGTCGGCGGGTCCGACTGCCGGCTCTCGAAGACGGGCAACCGGGAAGTGCAGTAAACCCATTCGCTGCCTTCTCGCTGCCTTCTCAGACCGATCGGGCGGCGATTATTATGGAGCGACCCCACAAGTGATGAAGACAACTCAAACTGGTGTTCAAATGACAACTCTAGAATATGCTTCAAACATAAAATAAACAGGGACATGGCGCGCACGTGCACACAGGAACTGCTGAAATTAGGGTCGCCGCCGCTCGCCACGGCCTGACGGGCAGACTGGCCGCCCTTATTAACAGAGGCACCTCCGCTTGTGGAGCTGAATGCAGCACTCTCGTGGCTCCGCCTGGCCATTGCTGGCTGGATATCATGCGCTTGTACTATCTTGCCCCGAACGACACATAAAAGCACGATATCGCACAATGTAAAACATCTCACTCGAAGCTTTGATCTATCATGACACCGCCTTCGTTGCACTTTTTGAGTGTTAACTCATATGCGAAAAGTATGGTGAGGTGTGCGGAAAGATAAAATTGTTTGCTCGATTGGGTGATGATGAGGATCATGCGAGTCACTTAATTTTGTCGCAGCCGTGCGAACGGTAAAATTGTTTGTTCGATTGGGTGATGATGAGGATCATGCGAGTCACTTAATTTTGTCGCAGCCGTGCGAACAGTATAGTTGACGCAATAATAAAATTCTATGCGCACCGGCACCAACTTGTCAACATGAGCCAAAATCCACACGAGCCTTTCTATGCCACAGAGAGAGTAGCGCTAACCGTTTGGAGCGCTTCCCCAACTCCGACGTTGCCGCACCGCCACGAGGCGCCGTCAGTCCGTTGGCGTCTCGCCGTCTGCCGAGAAGCGGAGAGCGAACGCCGAGGAGAGACGAAAGCGACCCCCCCCCCCTCCCCCATACTCCCTCTGCCCTCCACAGCTGGTTGAGACATTGCAGAGGGCGCTGGCAAGGAGGAGCCTGCAAAAACAAGCACCCCCCTCCTTTCCTCCACCCTCCACAGGACCCAGCGCGCTTACATGGCGGAGGAGCAGGCGAGCGACACCCAAACCAACCCTGAGCCCCACACAGTAGTTCGAAGCGGGAGTCTCCTCGCACACTGAGATGACCCGGCAGCTCTCGCGTCATCAGGCAGACTAATGCAACCACCGGACTCATATCTGCCCTAACCGCTCATTCACACTGGAAGCGGATATCCGTTCGCAAAACGGTTGCGAACGCGGTTGTATAAAGATCCAGTACAACTGCACGCGCACTCGATGGCATCAAGTGCGGGTGAAATTGTACTGGATCTTTATACTACAACCGCGTTCGCAACCGCTTTGCGAACGCGGATCCGCTTCCAGTGTGAATGAGCGGTAAGACTCACGTCTTGATCCAGGCTCATGCTCATGAGCCTTGAAACTCACAATCACACTCAAGAGATCGCAAAACTCCCGCTCATGAGTACTTCACTTAGAACTCAACCTCACACTCACAATCATGATTCCTCAGAACTCACGCTCATCAGTTTTCAGAACTCACAATCAAACTCATGAGTTCTCTGGACTCAAACTCACGTTCAATGGTTTTCTGAACTCACGATCACTCACGATCAAACTGACGCTCATGTGTTCGCAGGACTCGCACTCACACTCACACTCATGAGTTCTCAGTACTCACTATCACACTCACAATCAGACTCACGCTCATGAGCTCTCAGGACTCACACTCTCATTCACACTCATGAGTTCACATAACTTACGATCACACTCCCACTCACAGAGAGAGAGAGAATGCACTTTAATATTGAGCACAAATTAAGTGTTCAAAACATCCATGGCTTGTAACACCAAGGCCATTTGGTCATCCGGTTCGTCTGACGCCAGCCAAGCACTCCAGGAAAGGGGAGGGGGGTTAGGGAGGAACGGTGTGGATAGTGCAATAGGGCACTGTATGAGACAATGTTCCATGTTGGCGTATGGGGAGGGGCAGTTAGGGCATGAAGGATGAGAACGACGTCGAAGAAGAAAAAGCCTAGCGGGAGTAAGAACGGTGTTCGTTTGGATTTTTCGGAGGACGTGAGTTTGTGCCACATTGAGGTTCGGGTGGGGTCGAGGTAGTCGTTGTTGAGAGTTACGGAGCTGCTTGTAATAGAAATTGATTGAGCGTTTGTAGATTAAGGCATCGTCACTGGTCGGGGGGCTAGGCCACGGGATCACAGGCGCTCGGATTTGCATTTCGCGAGCGAGTTGATGAACCAACTCATTACCTGTGATCCCGCTGTGACCAGGGACCCACCGAACGGTGACAGAGGATGGGTTTAGTGCGCGCAGAGCTTCATCGAGGACCGATCTGAGATCTGGTGGGATTTTGCGTTGCTGCAGAGCGCGTATGGCTTCCTGGGAGTCTGTATAGATTGTATAAGCTGATGTAAGAGGTAGTTGGGAGAAGGTTTGGATAGCATGTATAATGGGAACTATTTCTAGTGTGATGATATTTGGAGGGTTGCTATATGGACCGCAGGTGTGAACTGTGGCGGTTGGGGATTGTGGTGTATAGATTGCATATGCCCCAGCTCCTGTATCTCCTGTGTTGGAGATGGATGCATCAGAATATGCTATGGTGTGTGTCTGAAAGGGGGGATTGTGATGGACAGCTTGCGCCCTCCTGCGACCGTCGTTGAGGCCCGGGGACATGCGGCGAGGCACAGGGGCGAAGCGCAGATTTAACGGTAGGGCTGGGTAGGGCTGGAGTAGCGTACACGCTACTCCGCAATCTCCCAGAGGAAGACAAAGAGCAGCTCCTGGCTCATATAAATACACACTGGTCGGAGTGTACCTTACCACAAGAGTGGAAATCCTCTATCATCACCATGATACCGAAACAAGGAAAACCCCCCTCTCTCACCAACCTTCGTCCCATTTCGCTTACCTCCTGTGTGGGCAAGACGATGGAAAGGATGGTGCTGGACCGTTTACGGGACCATCTGGAAACCATCTCGTTCTTCCCCCACACACAAATTGGCTTCCGTTCTCACGTATCCACACAAGACCTCTTTCTCCTTCTTCAACACACTTTTCTTTCCCCACCATCTGCTCAAGTCCACGCCCTTGTCACTGTAGACGTTCGTAAAGCATTCGATTGCATTGGCCACGATCACATACTCGCCTCAGTCCGAGTAACAGGCTGCGGACACAGGCTTTACACTTACATCCTGAACTTCCTTAAAGACCGCACAGCCAGTTTTCGTATTGAGGCTGAGACGTCCCCGCCGATCTCGCTCACACGCGGCACCCCACAAGGGGCGGTGCTGTCTCCTACTCTATTTAATCTCGGCATGGCCCAGCTGTCCTATCGCCTCCAACAAGTCCCCCAACTCTCACACATCTTCTACGCGGACGACCTCACCCTCTGGTGCACTCACGGGTCACCAGGGGAAGTGGAATCGACTCTGCAGCAGGGACTGGACATTATAGCTGAATATCTTGAACAAGCAGGCCTTGAACCTGCCCCAGAAAAATCGGAACTGCTTCTTCTATCACATACTCAAGATCAGCGATCTGTTAACCAGCACATATCTTTACACATCGGTCAGCACCCCATCCCGAAAGTCTCTACATGTAAAATTCTGGGCATGCATTTACGGGAAAGATCACATCAAGCCAACGTCGTTTCAGTCGTAAACACATGCCACTCGGTTACCTCCCTGGTACGCAGAGTGGTCAAAAAGCACGCGGGTGTCCACGAGAAGCAGGCGAGTCACCTGGTTCATGCGTTAGCCCTTAGTAAAATTCTCTATTTTATACCATATGTCACACTGACACAACAACAAATCAACAAACTCTCAGCAGCATTAAACACATTATACAAGGCCTCTTTAAACCTTCCCATCTCCACCTCCAACCAAAAACTATACGAAACAGGCCTCTTTCTCCCCCTCACCTCTCTTTTGCACCTGCATCGAGATCGGCAGATAGCCCGCCTCTCAGGAACACCGCAGGGTAGATGGATCCTGGAGAAGGCAGGACTCTCCCCCATAGACCTTCCCTTACATATACCTCACACTCACACTCATGAATTCACATAACTCACGATCCCACTCACACTCACGCTCACAATTTTTCGAGACTCGCGGCCTCACTCACGATCACCTCAACTCTGACGGTGAGCGTGAGTGATCGTGAGTGATCGCACTCATGAGTGAGAATGCCGAGGTATGGTATAGGGTGCTGCGGGACTGCACTGTATTCCCGCGGTTACGGGAATGCTCATAAATACAAATTTGGTACTTTCAACCTTGTATATTACAACGCTGTATATTACGTTTATATTATAGATACAATAAATTGTACAAGACTGCGCTTTTAAAACGTATATTAATGTCGGATAAACGCGCACAAACACCACCGCGCCGCTTGACAAGAAACATTTTTTTTTCACGTCGATAGCATTTTTTCTCACGTAGTCGCGCCATGGCCTTCCTTCCTCCGACATTGTGACGTAACCACTCGGCCTTCTTCTCTAGGAGGTGTTGCCTCCTCCCGCTCCTCCTCCTCCCCGCGTGTTGCATCATGGGACATATCCCATAATGCACCGCGCGGTTACGCTGACGGCGACGCCGACGCCACTCAAGCCGGAAACAGGCGCCTAAGAGCTGCGCTCTAAAACAAAACAAAACACGAATATAACGTTTTCGCCAAGGTGCGGAGGGGAGAGAGGAGCGACGATTTGAGGCCGCTTTATGGCGGCCGCGTCATGTGATTCTAAGATGGCAGCGCCCATGCGGCGGAGGGTGAAAAGGTTTATAGCATCGAGAGCGTGTGGCTAATTCCGAACATCTCATTATCGCTTCGCGCCAACGGGACTGTGGCATTAGAACGTAAGAACTTTCAATAGATGAAGCATGAACATAACATGGCACGCCCTGGGCTTCTTAATGTGTTCGGCGACTCTACAATGACAAGGAGCAGCGGTCGTCGAGCAGCAGGCTCACCTTTTGGGTGCGAGGATTGACCCCGAGGATGCGCTGGAAGTACTGCGAGTGCATCGAGAGCACGGCCCGGTGGCACGGGAACTTGGCAGTGCCCATCACCACCAGCACGTCCGGGTTCTCGTTGCGCCGGCACTGCAGACTGACCAAAGATGGGCACTCGAATGAGAAAGAAACAAAAATATGTGCGGGAGTCCTCTCTGACGCTGAGCACGACGTGAGACGTCGCGGAACGTCGTGCTCCGTGTCACATCGCAGACTGTTTTTCGTTCGATCTAAACGTATTTTTATACTGTTCGCTCGCCGAGGTCTCTCTGTAGATTGCAGCGGTTGGCTCTCCCAAAGTGCCTTGCAGGAAATAACCTTTTAGAATGTATGCGTAGAGCAAGTCGTCTGCTTCTTGCTCAGAAGTTGCGGCGACGTCAGAACGATTGGTTATGATTGGCTTTGAGTGAAAGAATAGTGGCTAGACCTCAATGCTAAATGCCTCGTGGTCTACCCACTATTTTGTTTTCAATCAGCCAATAAGAGCTCAGCATTATGACATCATCGCAACCCCTATGCAAGAAGCAGACGAACTTGCGGTCCGCATACCCTTCGATAAGAGCCCGGCAGCGTGACGACACTGTACCCTCTGTGCAGCCTTGCCTCTGTGCAAGCAGCAGGCCAACTTTTTCGCCGTCGACTACGCTATATTAACACACTGGTCGAATAGAACTCACGAACAAAAATTCGCGCTTCGCGTTTCTTACAAGTACCAACAACCATTGTTGTGCGAACGCGCAAGACACGTGTCACGAGCGGATGCTGCACCGCCATTTGATCCCAAGGGTCGCCCATTTTGGTGCTGCGCCACAGTCCGCTTCCAAGGGCCACACGAGTCGAGCGTCGAGTGCATTACCGAATTTGACTTTGGTTCTTAGGCTACCTGGTATGGAATCTCTCGGTCACGCAGAGGGGAAGTCTTTCCTACGGACAAACCGAAGAACCCGAGGCGCCCTGCCGACGTTAGGAGTCGAGTAATCAGATCGCTCGGAGAACCGTATCAATATAGGTAGGATCAGACGAATTATTGTCGAGAAAGTCGCTGGATGCAACTACCTAATCTTCTTATTAAACACTACGCAACCGTCGGAAAGATGGGCGATTGGAAACGTCATCTATACGCGAGTATTCTGCATAATATGTTCCTTTTTATTTTGTTTCGATTTTTTTTTAAACTTTTGCTCGCATCACAATCAAAATTGGGGTCTGGTGACAAATGTTGCTAGGGCGGAAACCGACGAAGATTTCTTACCAGTAAGTACTTTATCCAAGGTCCGCGATATTACGCTACTCGTCAAATGAAGACAAACACGTCAAGGGCTTCACATTTCAAGGCGCGTTCCAGGCACCCTAGTTTCGCGCCGGAACGTTTGCGGACGAGCACGCACCCTGCGCCCGTAGGCGTGAGGGATCTGACCACCTTCCGGTACGCATCAGACTGGTCCAGGGGAAGCGACCCGATGGAGCTGGACTCCGTCAGGGAAGACAGCAGCAGGCTGCTCTCGCTGTCGGCCGCACACCGGGACGGTTCTGCGAGGCGACGCGGACGCCGCCAGAGCCATTAGTGCGTGCATGTGATGTAGACAGAGGAAAAGAAGTCGAAACGGTTCGTCCCGCCCCTCACTCTTCGTGCCCCGCTCTAAGTCCCTTCCCCCTGGTGCCGCTAGGCAAGGGAGGGATCGCAACCATTCTAATTCACGATTGCAATGACACTCCATAGGATATTGGCGTCGTCGCAAAACGTGCCACCGGTCCAGAAGTAACGGGTGGCGGCGAGAACTGCGGCGACATCACCAGCGACGGACGCTTACCAGCCCCATCTAAAAAACTGCACCTTCGCCCCTCTCCCAAACGCCATCACTATTGGATTCACGCAGCGCCGCCGAGCTATACTCTGTCCTAGCTCCTCCTTCAGCACGAGCTCGCTGGCTTCCGCAGTGCTTTGGTTGCGCGTTCCTGCGCGTTCGCACTCATGTTAGCAAGGGCAGCTTGAACCTCACGCTGAAGGCGGAGCTTCTAGTCTCAGCTTAATGGTGAACGGAGTACTGCGTCAGCATCGTAGCCAGCGCGTCGTGCAGCATCTCACAACCATTGTTGTACGGAACAGCGTTCCAAGGAACGACGTTCCTGGAATGCGTGTCTTTTAGGAGGAGCGGAGGAACGCCGCCGTTCCATCTTGCATCAGTGGAACTCGAACGGGAACTCTATGCTTTTGAGGGACCGGCAGGAGGAACGTTATTCCTCTCTTTTGTGTTCCATACCTACAATTTTACCTAGATTTAGTAGGTATTAAGACTTTGTATTATCGATTATTTCAACCTCTGACTTGAAGAGACGGGAAAATGTCCGATAGTTGAAAAAAAAAAAATACAAATGGCGACTTGACACGTAGCTTGATGTAGATGTTTTAACATGCTCGCTTTATTTTTGTTTCTACACGTTATTCAGTACAATATTGCATTAGAATACGCAAACGCAACGTTAATGTAACGACACGTTCCAACCTTACAAATGTATCGGGAACGCATTCCTTTCGAACCACTGGAACTTGTAACGGGGAATCGTTCCAAGATTAAGAAGGAACGAGGAATCAGCTTGTGTTCCTGTTCTATTATAACGTGTACAACGCCGCTCACAACGAGCGCGACTGTAGCACGCGGCGACATCAATACGGACTCGTCATCCGCTTTGCGGCATCTCTTGTCGAGCTGCAGCGTGTTTACCGCTTGGGGGTCGGGAGTCCACTAATGATGACGTCACATGCAGGCCTTGTCATCTAGCTGGTCTTGCTCTTACCCATGAAAGCCGCAGTGCACGAGCTCGTGAGGTAGGAGCAGTTCCTGGGGCTCGGGTACACCATGTCCTCGATGTAGCAGGCCTTGATGGACCAGTCTTCCAGGGAGATCTTCTCCGGGATGTCCGGCAGAACCAGGGGACACTGCGCCCTGGCACGCCGTGAGCTCGGCGACTTTATGCCTGGAAGAGGCGCACACGCTTTGTTAACAGAGATGACGCAAACAAAACGCGGCAGACAAAAAACAACAACAAAACAATGCTGACTTTTTTTTATTAATGTAAACGGCCATGTGAAACCAAAAAGTCATAATGGTTGCAGCTGCGGCAGCCAACGCATCAAAATCAATGATCTTGAACAGTTCCTTTGAGTTACATATTAGCCGTTGAATGAGTCGTTTACGCTCTTAAATCTGAACACTTCGTAGCCTATAGCCCTAGTTGATTTCAACTGGGGGACTCCAGCAGAACGTTTTTCTTTTCATGCTTCATGCTTCATGCTTTGATATACTTCATCCAAATGAGGTATAGACGTGTTCGTGAGCAGGCTTCTGGTTTAGCCGCAGGTCCCTCACAGCTTCCTATCTTGCGCCTGGTGCCACCCTGGTCTTTCGAGGGGCCCATAGCAAAGCAAGCAACAGCTTGCTTTGCTATTGGCCCCTTGAGGGTATTATTAAAATAACCTTAAAACAACAGCGTAGGGTTTGAATGTTTCGAACTACGCATCGCGTAATGAGTGGGAAGGGAGCTTAAGCACATGGATTGCTAGCACGGATAAGTGTGATTTCCGCTGCAAAATGTCGAGAGGACGTGTGGTCGGCACGCGCTCCGTGACAATCAATCATTCGGTAACGGAAATGACCGAACTCTAAACACGTTCGACGGGAGTCACGTGCTCTTAGCATTGCTGCGGTGCATGGATCGCGTTTCGACTGGTCCTATTCCGCCTGCACATCGAAACTGGTCTCGAAGTTACAACAATTGAAGTCGTAACAGTCAAGGTGTCACGCTGTCGGATGTCGCGACCCTAGGGGATCGCACTAGAGGTCCCGGCAAAGAGTTAGAGGGAACGTGAGTGTTGCACGAATTGGGATTTCCCACGACAGCAACTGTCGTCGGGGGGTCCCAACTCGTGGCTGCTGAAGCTTCCTCAGACTGCCAAGCTACAGCTCAACCTACGACAAAACAAGCGTCTGCCATATCCACCTCTGCTGCTGCGTCACCGCCAGGATTGTGGCAGGCAACACCATGACGCTTCTGCGACGTCATTGGGCGAAAATCGAGGGACCACTTTCGAGGACGCTGTGAACACACCCGTCCGAGACGCCCCCCGGGCACCATTGTCAAACTATCCGAAGCGAACGTTCGCGTGATTTTTGAGCGGGGGTTGCGGTGACGTCAGATCGCCGAGGTCCGATTGGCTCCGACTGAAAGGATACAGGGGGTAGACCTCGAGGCAGCTAGCGTTGGGGTGTACCCTCTATCCTTCCATCAGATCCAATCGGAGCTCGGCGTTCTGACGTCACTGCAAATCCCTGCCCAAGAAGCGGACAAACTTGCGCTCCGCATTTAGTCACTGACTGGATGAGAAAGGGAGGGGCCTCTTTTTGATGCCCAGGCTCCGGGACGCGCTCGCTGCCTTCCGCCGTTCTTTGTCTGCGCAAGCTCACGAGATACCAAGACGTTATAGGCGGTAGCAAGTTCGCGTTGGAGACGGGACAACGGAAAGACGAACCCTGGAGAAGGGGAACTAGGGGGACAAAGGACAAACATAAATCTCCAAACACAGCTAGGTGACTGGTGCGCGACCGAAAAAATCCGCCTGGTGCGGGTATTGAATCCGGGACCTCTCCATTACAAGTGGAGCGCTCTACCAACTGAGCTAACCAGGAGTTAGACGTCAGTAGAGCAAACGGGTTTTATCAGCCGCCACCAGTCGAACACCAACAAGGGTGAAGCTTGCAATTTAGTGTTATGATTATAATGCAATTAAATGCAAAGGTGCAAGCGAGCTGGACAAGAATGACGAAAATAATCCCTGGAGAAGGGGAACAAGGGGGACAAAGCCCGCACCAGGCGGATTTTTTCGGTCGCGCACCAGTCACCTAGCTGTGTTTGGAGATTTATGTTTGTCCTTTGTCCCCCTTGTTCCCCTTCTCCAGGGATTATTTTCGTCATTCTTGTCCAGCTCGCTTGCACCTTTGCATTTAATTGCATTATAATCACAACGGAAAGACCTCCCTGTCGTTCGCATCCTGCCA